CAAGTGATGCTGCTCCTATCTTTCACTGATGCAAGCCAGATTATACTCAGGTTTCCTGTGTCGTGTGTGTGTGTGTGTGTGTGTGTGTGTACACACACACACAGTGTGGTCATACTCCAGTATGGTACAATCTGAAGTGGATTGCAATGATCGGATCCAATAGGGGAATGGTGTGTGAATCAGTATTTAATGCACTACAAGATGAGTCAGCCTGATGCAAACCAGTTTTCAGACCAGTACAGTGCCACTCAGTTCCTAACACAGTTCAATATGAGTCAGATCCAAGCATCTATCACAATATGACTCACAGACTAAAACAGCACCATGTGACTCCAATACCCAGTGTGAGCTGTCAGAGTTCTGTGTGAAATGAGTCAGTTCATAGTACAGTAGAATGGGATTTTTTTGGAGGCCATTCATAATTAAGCATGATGCGACTGAGCACTCAGTTGGGTATGGTATGATGGGAATCAGCAGAGTGTATTAGGTTGAGTAGTAATTTACTATGTTCCATCATTGGGATAGTAAAATATCAATCTGAATGAATTTTTTTAGCCAAATGTATTCAGAAAGAATTGAGGCAAATGCTTTCATTCAATATGAAAGCCAGTACTAATAGTACTAGCAAATTTCTGTATTATGGGTTCTTGGTTCCTTGCTGTTATGTGTCACCTGGTAGATCCTCAGGGCATGTCTACACTGGGAAGTTATTTAAAAAATACCTCCTCTTACTTTGAAATAACAAGGCAAGCGTCCATACGACCAAGTCTGTTATTTCAAAATAATTGGCTTGTTATTTTAAAATATTAATTCCTGCTTGTGAAAAGGAATAAGTTTATTTTCAAATAGTTATTTCTGGAGTTATTTAAAAATAACTTATTTCGAAATAACCTGGTAGCACAGACATAGCCTCAGCTACTATAAATTGTCAGAGCTCTATTATAGTCAACTACAGTTGTTACATGAGATAAGTAAATGAAGCTACAACACTTTGTACCAGCTGAGGATCTGCCTGGTAGTGTATTGTAGAGCCTGACTGTGATTCAACACTGCTTTAGTATTGTGAAGGGGCATTGAAATAGGAGTAAATTATAATTACACTAAAGCACTTTTGCACTGTCAGAACAGTGTAAAGTAACCGTAGCGTTAAATGGGAGTCAGACCATAGATATTTATCACCTACCTTATCCATGGGTATATTTGTGTATGCTATTTTTCTGTATATACAATACATATAGGACTCTGTCTCCAAAGGCTATCACCATTTCTCTTCTTTCTAGCTAAACTGGTACATGGATGCCAGGATGATGTGTGTTAGAATAACCCACTTTTACTGAGGTCACTGGTGAAACAGCTGAAGCCCAGAAAGAAACATTTACATAAAGTTGGTGTAGTATGTGTGGGGCATCCTTTTAAAAAAAAAAAACCAACCCACTGAGATATGGACAAAGTCTGGTCTATATAGGATAACATTTCTTAGAAAGAATGTCAGGTTTTATGTAGAGGACAGTTTCAATGAGAAGATTTTTATGAGGATATAAGGCTGATCATGCAAGGTGCTCTAACTTGTTATGCCTCTTGGGCTACATCTAGACTACATGGCTCTGTCGACGGAGCCATGTAAAATAGTTTATCTGACAGTCAAAGAAGCAGGGATTTAAATAATCCCCGCTTCATTAAAATAAAAATGGCCGCGGTGCTCTGCCGACGATCAGCTGATCCGACACAATGCAGCAATCTAGACGTGGTGCAGTCGACAAAGGAAGCCTTTGTCGATCGCTCTGGTATGCCTCGTCAAACAAGGTTTACCGGAGCGGTCGACAAAGGCTTCCTTTGTTGACCGCGCCGCCTCTAGACTGCCACGCTGTGCCGGATCAGCTGATCGCCAGCACAGCGCTGCGGCCATTTTTATTGTAATGAAGCGGGGATTATTTAAATCCCTGCTTCTTTGATTGTGCCAAATAAACTATTTTACATGGCTCCATGGCTCCGTCGACGGAGTCATGTAGTCTAGACGTAGCCTTGGAGTGGAAGCATATCACATTCAGACTATTGCAGGATCAGCCCTTCCACTGTAAGTGAAATGAGCTGTGTACAGTTCCCTATTACTGTGTAGGTGTGTTACATTTCTAAGTGTTCTCTTTGAAATGTAAAGCAATGCTTTAATCTGTATAGATGAACAGAGAGGAAAAACCACAGATGAAGGCAACCAACCTAGTTTCTCTCCATCTATAAATTATTGTATATAATACTTCTGAGTTTGTCCTGACTAGAGGGAGATTATTTTCTTTTGTACTCACATTCACTGATCACCTGTTGGTCTCTGATCCAATTCTATTCCAACACGCTTTTTAATGCAGCATCCTAGGTGGCTGCTAATATCACCTATACAGGACGTTGATCTTGTTTTCTCCATTCCCACCCACCTCAAGCCACCTAATTATCACTGCCATAACTCCAGCTGTACAAAAACAGCAGCGCCAAGTTTTTCCCAACTCTATCTCATCAAAGAGTCCCAAAGTGTGTGCTGTTTATTAATATAAATGATAACTGCTATCAAACATGGTCCTTTTTGATGCAGAAAGCTTAATCATTATATTAATCAATGGAGAAAAAGTGGAGTAACCATCAAGTTTTCTATGGTCACAGTTTTGCTCTCATTATGGTCAGTAACAATCTTACACTGACTTCAGTGAGACTATGTTCCAGCCTTAAGCACTCCAGTCATTGCAAGTATATACAAACAAGGCTTTTTGAAAGTAAGATTTACCTTGAATCTACACCCACATATAACTTTTTTGTGACAATGGTAAAGAATCACAGAATCATTTTCTTCTAACTCATTGATGATCACCACAGAAAAAACTACGAATAAAAATAATGAATGACAATCAAGAGATTTACATAATATTCATAGTGAGCGTGATCCAAAGACCATTTAAGCCAATGGGAGATTTTTCATCGTCTTCATGGGCTCTGGATCAAGCCCAGTAAAATTATTGAAAGTGATTATGCTGTGATTATGGAAATCTATGCACTCTAGCTGTGAGCCATTATTAGATGCATAGAATACAGAGAACTCACATACTATATAATTATTGTAAATCAATCATACAGTAATGCAAATCAGATCTCCAGAACCAATCAGAGTTCAAGGGATTGCATAATTAAGGAAGAAGCAGGGGAAGACTATTGTACTTATGCTTCAGTAACTGTTCAACATTTTTGCATTGTGGCTAGCTAAGAAAAGTCCATTTGTTGCAATATGAAACAAAGGAAGGATTATGTAATATAAAAGCCTCAATCATTTTTTCAGTGCAATTTTGATTTTAAAAATCTGACCTCTTGAAAATTTATACTGCATGTATTCCTCCTTTGGGTGGTGATTTGCACTATAGGGATGGTGATTTGCACTATAGGGAGCTCACCTTCCTGTTACAGAAATTAGTAAATATTATAAATGTAATAATTCTCTCAACCAAACATCATTTAAGCAGCTTTTAACCAAGGATATAACTTTCATCCCTGATGCTTGTACTCATTTATATCCAAAAGGTTAAACATAGAAATGCCACTTAATCTGAATGTCATACAGGCATTCATTAGGGGTGGAGAGCAGTTAATATTTAATATCTAAGCATTAGCACTAGGGCATATACTTTATCTTTGCATTATTTTTGGATAAGTATGTGGCTCATTTTAACCTTTGACTGAATTTCAGTAACAATGAGCAGCCGACAATTGATTATTGTGTGTTGCATTTATACATATTACACATACAACCTATTTTGATAGGAAACATGGATATATCAGATTATTTTTCTTTATACAGAATATGCTTGTTTGCAGCAACAAGTATTAAGAGCAACCACCACTTATGAGCAACATTTCCCCTGGAAACTCTTTCTCTCCTATGAATTGTCCATTCAGTAATAGTAACATAGCCACCAAATAAGAGCACTATTTGTGGCATTGGGACTTCACATCCAGGGCTGAAGAGGCCTGTGGGGGCATTTCCCCTCCCAACTGCATCTTTCTACTCCCCCTGATACTGATCCTTCAGTGCAGCTCCCAGACACACTGCCCCATCCACTTGCTTTTCCTGACAGAACCTGAATGCAGAGTAGGAGTTCTGAAGGGTATGAATGCAGAGTATGTGTAGGGTGGAGTTTGGAGGGAGGGTATGGAAGAAAGGGACTTTTCGGGAAAGGGAAGCTGTGGTCTACAGAGGTGCAGCAGCAAGGTTACCACCTCCCTTCCTCAGTGTCTGGCTTTCAGGATGGGGTGGGGTTGATATTTTGCAGTAGCAAGTATTGGGAACCCCTTACTGTATGCACTGAGCTATTCCCCCATCTTGGTTTCTGGTGGTGGAATGTGTTTGTTGCAGTGGAGGGTCAGGTAACCCCTCCCCCCTCCAGGGCACTGATCTGCCTCTTTCCAATCTCTGTTTCCATGTTAGGAGCTACCCCTACTTCACTGCAGACTGCACATGGTGGTGTTCTCTACAGACAGCCATCGCTTGCCAAGGTGGAGCATGAAGCTACCAGTGAGAGCATCCTCAACCTGTCCCCAGCAGCTGGGCTCTCTCAGCCCCTCCCCCTTTCCTCCCAAATTTGGGACCCTCTTACACCACACCCTTCAACTCCCCCTATAATGTGGCTGCCCCATCTCTTCCAATACACTCTTAGGCTACGTCTACACTGGCATGATTTTCTGCAAATGTTTTTTACGGAAAAGTTTTCCGTTAAGAGCATTTTCGGAAAAGCGCGTCTAGATTGGCAGGATGCTTTTCCGCAAAAGCAGATGATTTTGCGGAAAAACTTGCCAGCTGTCTACACTGGCCCTTTTGCGCAAAAGTTTTTCGGAAAAAGACTTTTGCCCGAATGGGAGCAGCATAGTATTTCCGCAAGAACACTGACAATCTTACATGAGATCGTCAGTGCTTTTGCGGAAATTCAAGCAGCCAGTGTAGGCAGCTGGCAAGTTTTTCCGCAAAAGCAGATGATTTTGCGGAAAAACTTGCCAATCTAGACACAGCCTTAATGCTTCAAACATCTTTGGTCAAATGACATTTGCTATAACAATAGCAGGTGCTTAGGAGCCACATAGCAATATGTTGGTATTAATGAGCATTTACCGTATCTGGTTCATTGCTTTTCAGGGACATTTTTTCATAATTGAGGAGGCCTAGTTTTTTAATATATGCTTGGGAAAGTGCCAGATTAACAGGACTGTAAACTAAAATTTTCCACTTTTCTACAAAACAAGCACACTGTGACCAAGATTTTCAAAAATAGGTAGATTCCAAAATCCTTCTTTAGGCACTGACTAAAGGCATGTTTCCAAGACAATTGAAATCAATGGATGTCTTTCCATGGGCTTTGGTTCAACCCCAAAGTGGCCTGATATTTTTTTCCAATGGTACTGAGTATCCAGCAAAGGAAGGATTTGGAACTGGTGATCTACACTTCAGAAAATCCAGTCATTTATTTATTTGCCTAAATATGGATTTTAGGAGCCTAGCATTGGGCTCTTACTTTTGAGGATCTTGGCCCATGGCAGTGGGAGCAAAAGCTTCTCTGTCTTGGCAATCTGCTTCAGACCAAACCTCAGCTCTGACCTCTCCTCTCTGGGCCAATACTGGCTAATTAGAGGTGAGGGTTTGTGATGTGAACACCTTTCCGTCTGAATGAATGGAACCACCAAATTCTTTTCCCATTGGCTACTGAACAGCCATCAGCTAGTAACAATTTTGGTTCATGCCCCACCTGGATTTGAATAGAAAGCAGGTAAATTAATAATGAACCTATTACAATTGTCCAAGTCATCCAATCCCTCCAAGCAGACACAGCATGCTGGACTGAATGGTAACTATTTTGATTGTTTATATTAGTAAAACCGAGTGTAGATATTTGTTTGTTATTGAGCTTAGATATCAAGATGTTTAGAGTATTTGCCTTGACACTGTAAAGCTGATTGTTTGGATGAAGAACAGCTGGTGGACGCTGAAGCCAAGAAAGACAAACGTGGTGGCGGTAGGCAGAGGAGGTTTAAGCATTTGCAACCATCTCCACAATTGGCCAGTTTGGTCTGTAGTTTAGGAATACAGTTGGATTTTTTGTTGATGCTAAGCTTTCATTTGGCAGCATTGGCGAGTCAGGCTTTCTAGCCTCTCCAGCTGTCTAGGAGACTTTGTCCCATCCTGGCGGGTGATGACCTAGCCCCACACCTTTGTTACTTCTCAGCTAGATTGAGAAGTGAACTGGGCAGCAAGCATCCCTAACCCTTAAGCATTTAGAAAACCCCAACTGGTACAAAATGCACATCTTTTTAGCAGCACAGGCCACCACAAGCACTCCAGGCTTGCCCTCCATTCTCTACTGTCTTGGTCCTTATCATGAAGACACTCCCTGAACTTGAGCCCATGAAGCCTCAAAGACTGCTGAAAGCTCCAGGATTGAAGACTGTGGCTGACATCTTCACTTCTCTGGTGCAGTGGAACTCTCTCCCGTGAGGGTAAAGCTCATCTGTAGAAAAAGCAGGGCTTTCTTGGAAGATGGGGAAATAGTTTGAGACTGCGGAACAAACTCTCGCAGGAACTAAGGACCATCCCAACCTCACCACCTTTCTCTCCAAGTGCAAGACACATTTCTTTGACTTTAACTTCTCTATCATAAACATATAGTAACAAGTATATTGGGGGAGAAAACACACCATTACCAAAACAAGACACTCTACTGCACACAATTCTCCCTCTGGGGAGAAAATGAGAAAGCAAGCATGTGACAGTTGTTAGTCACATCTCTTACAGAACTGGTGGTAGGCACTCCATCGTTATGGCAATTAGCATGAAATGAGAACCTGTATGGCCTAGACTAGTTTCCCCTTTTCTGTTCAGATTGATTTTATTGGATGGTATCTAATTGATTGTTAGGCATACACTCCTATTCAGCTAAGACAAAACTTCTTTTGTCAAACAGTAACCAGTGCCCTCAGAGCACTGCTGAGTCTCCTGTTGCTGATAGTAAGCTTTCCCATGGCAGCATCAGCGAGTCCGGCTTTCTATACTCTGACTGAAGAGTAAGAAGATTATTATTTTCTGGTCATTTTCCTTTCTTTCCAAGAAAGTCTTACAGGTCTTATTACATCAAAATCCATTTTGAGGAATGTCACCAGATGGAGTGGTAATCATTCTTCCATCCTCAAAGGAAAAGTGCTAATATCGCATTTAGTTGCTTTCCATATATTTTAGAAATATGCCCAGATTCAGCTATTTTGTGTTGCTTTTGTGACACTGACAGGTGGAATTGAACATGGGACCTCTGGAACCTAGTGCACAAACCTCTACACATGAGCTAAAAGCCAGCTGGCTGTTAGCTAAAGTGGTAGAGCAGATTCTTTCTCTCAGTAAGTGGCCTCAGTGCCAGTAGATAGCCCAGTACACCATACCAAGCAAGTGATGTGTGGGTTTAAACTTTCTTGGTGCAAAGCTACAGTAAAGACAGGTTAACTGGCTAGTTAATATGGATGTATGGCCACTTGTTGTTCAGGAGTCTCTCCAAGCAGGCAGAAAGTGTTCAGTGCCATTGGGAAGGGAGCGCTGCTGTTGTGTTGCATTTCATTCTTTACTTTACTGGCACAGAACATTGTTCTATTATTTGCAGTATTCCCCAAAGAGATTATATGCAAGAGGGGGTTTGCTGGACTTCAGGACATCCCAAAACACAAAGCATTCCATATGCCATAGATCTTACTTTGCACACAAGCATGATACATACACCAGAATAGGATACAGATCCAGTGGATTGTGACATTAAGATTAATAGGTTACATGATGGAATTTGTCCCAAGCATCTTTGAGTTTTGCATGTGTGTGTCCATAAGTCCATGTCATAAAGCGGAGGGAAGGGGTCTGTCACAAGGGCATTTATCAAGTGATCCACCTTTTGTTTCCCATTCCCAGATTCTGGCAATATGATTCTGTACTGGTTCTGGCATGTCAAGGTCCTCTCCCATTCCCATTGTAGCTATGCTACCAGGGATGCCTCAGCCATCCTGGAACTTCCTTTGGAGGATTTCCCCTACATTAGATGTGGGGCCCTAGGAAAGGTAACACCGTCCCTGCACTGGCTGAATAAATGCTGGTAATTTATTACATTTTTTTAAATTAAAGCTGGTCATGCTGTCTTTGCTTACTGATATCCCTTCCAACAAACAGCCAGAGGAACACCAAGGCCAAGTGAGTCTGAGCCACATAGTTAGGATTCCCATCTCCTGGTTGAAATTACTGTGTATGTGATCAGAACAGCACAACAGTGAACACAATACTATTGGTCCTTCAGCAACAGCTTTCACAGGTTATGTTAACAAGAGCTTCCCTTTCTTTCATCCTGCAGGTACGTGGAAACTTTCTCTTGCAAACTTTATTAGCCAAGTTAAGATACTTAGATTCCATCTCAGAAATGTATTTTCAGTCTAGAGGTGAAATCAATTAAAGTCGAAGGAAATGCTGCCCTTGACTTCAATGAATCGAGGTTTTCACCCTATATAATTGATGAAAGCTTAATTAAGTACCATACTCTCTGAACTGCAGTATAAAAGCTATGCCTCCTACCATCCCTGAAAAGTCCCAGTAGCAATTATCCAGAGTGATGTCACATCTCTGAATGATGAAAAATCTACCAGCCACATCCTGAGGAATGTATCAACTTAGTACCTTAAATGAAAAGTTGTTGGAGCAGTTCAGGACAACTATTACATCAGCAGTTTTCTTTTTTTGTATGGCTTGGGTCAGTAGCAATGACTACACATTTACATCTAGATTTGTTTCTTTTAATTAAAACAGTGATTGACCCCATCTGAATTTATCTCTGCTGCTGAACTCGATCTAGGTACATTCACCCAGGAGCATAGCATATCCCTATACCTTGTTACAAAATTAGAAAACATTGAAAATCACATAGTGTGCATACACCGAACAAACACTTCACCCCAGCTCTCCATTCTGGATGAGTTCTGCTCAGTGTAGGAACTCAGAGGATCAACTTTAACAACTAGATAGGCTCTCCTAGTTGAACCAGAAGTTAGATGTAGGAATCATTGAGTGAAATTCTATGGCTTCCATTACACTAGGTGAGCATAACAGTCCCTTTATCACCTTAAAAATCTATGTTCAGGATCATCCAGGAGTGATTTATTCCCCATCATAGGATAAAGCAGTATCAGGGCTGCTCTAATTTAGTCTGCTGAAACAGAAAATAGGTGGAATACAATAAACTCTTGCGACATATCCTTCCCCAGAGCCTTGGCATGAGCACTATGCTAAGAATGAAGGAGGGAAGACAGCAATCATATCACACCACGAGGGGCCGTTCTACCCCATTTGTTTTATACGGCCAAAAAGCCAGACTAGAACAGAGAACTGACCCCTTATCTTATCTTATCTGTCAAAAGAACTACCAGTGTCAAAGACTCCCATGCTCAGCAGTGACGAAGGCCACATAAAGCACATTGTTATTAAAAAAGCATTTTGAGTAGTAGGCGCACAAGAGAGTTAACCACCCTTTCAACAATCTAAAGAACCTGAAAGGAGTTTTAAAAGCTTCATTCCAGGTGTCTCTTCCCTTTTGCCATGAATTACACCCCAAAGAGTAATGCTTTCAAAAACCTTGTAACTGCATGCAAATAAGGTCATTCACTAAGGGTACCCTCTCAGTAACAGATTCCATGTCTGTCAGCAATCATATCAGTCATTCTTTAGCATGCGTCAGTCAGATTCTCAGGTGATGTAAATCAAAAGAGCTCCACTGGAGTCAACTGAGGAGCTAACGCAGCATTTCTGTTGGACATGAAAGACTTGTACATTTTATATGACAGACTATTGATCTCAAGTATAGTGGGGCACAAATTTCTCCCCTTCTGAAAGTCAGGGCAGGTCTACACTTACTGGGAGATTGGCACTGCAATGATCTATCCCCTGGGGGTCAATTTAGTGGGTCTAGTAAAAGACCTGTTAACTCAACCACCAATCACTCTCCCGTTGACTCCAGTACTCCACCGGAACAAGAAGCGTAAGGGAAGTCAACGGGAGAGTTTCTCCTGTCAACCCCATGCAGTGGAGACCCCGTGGCAACTCAACCTAAATCAGGCCTAGGCAAAATATGGCCCACTGGCTGGGTCCAGCCTACCAAGCCACCGGATCTGGCTCTGAGCCAGCAGATGTGCTTGCTTCCTACTTGCCTTGCCCCTTTACTCATAAACTGTAAACTCTTTGGGGGCAGGAACTGTAAACTGTGTTTGTATGGCTCTGAACAGTGTTAGGTTTCTACACTCTACTCTTAAGAAATTAATAACCCTGCAATTATGGAGATGTGGACATTTTGTTTTACTTTGAGGTTATGATCAGCAATGTATGAAAAACAGCAGCTTTAATTTAAGAGTTCTGCTCCCTGTAGATATTTAGAATGCTTTAGTCAGCATAGGAAATGTGAATCAAGTGATGTATAATACCAGCTGCTTTATTACAGTGCAGTTCATTGCTAAAGCCAAAGTGATGTTAAAAATATTATGTGGCCCAGTCATCTCGTCATTTGCAGGCACACTACTGCTATGGATACCCAGAGGAGCTGCAGGTGCGCTATTCATTGTACTTTCCTTAGAACAAAGTATCTGCTTTGAACTAGCCATGTTTAAACCAACAGATACATTCTTGCAGGAACTTCTGCCTTAGGTCTCCACGTACTTTTTAACTCTTTTGTGCCATTTTATTGTTTAGAAATATTTACAAAAAACCATCTGTGTTAGAGCAAGAAAATTACTTCGTGTTTATTTTAAAAGAAAGCTAATGTTTCAATGTGAACATGAAAGCTATGTCTACACTAGTGGGTTCTTGCACAAGAACATGTCCACGCTGCCATGTCCAAGACATGCTTTTGCACAAGAGCATCCATGGCAGTGTGGACGCTCTCTTGTGCAAGAAATCTCCGATGGCCATTTTAGCTATAGGGCTTTCTTGCACAAGAATCCCCTGTGGCACGTCCACACTGCCCTCTTGTGCAAGAGCTGTTGCACAAGAGAGCTTACACTTGTAAGAAAAGAGCATAGCTCTTGTGCAAGAAGCCCTCTTACCACGCTGTACTGTAAATCTTCTTGCGCAAAAGAGGGTGGGCAGTGTGAACAGCAGTACTTGCACAAGAACCCGCCAGTGTAAACAAAGCCGAAGTGTAGAACAGTTTAAATGAGATGACAAATTGCGCCTTTATTTTTTCCTTCCCGAACCCTTCATAATCTATAAATTGGGATATAAATCACATATGATAGTATTGGATTTACATTCATCAAGCTTTACAGCTTCCAAATATCCTTTGGTAGAGTGAGTGCTTTAAAAGCTACATTATAAACACAACACTATTTCAGGGAGAGATGAGAGAGATGGCAGGAGGCATTTGCTATAGAGATGTTTACATGCTCTTCCCTCATGCTGAAGTATACCAGAGAATATCTTGGAAAAGAAATCAATCTGAAAAAGTATAACACATCAAATATACATTATATAATAGTAAACATCTAAAATTATAATTTTATGAATATAATTATGGATCAAAATAAGGATTTTTTGTAATAATAGGTATTTGGGATTAGTGGGTGGGTACATTGACTTATCCACCTCTTCCTCTTGTGCCCTTCTTCCCACTCCAAGCAAAATGCAAAACAAAAAAACAGAAGACTAGCACTGCTAATCAGATCATATATCAATTCAGTTGCAAAGTGGGTTCTTTATGTGTGCAGAAGCCAGATAGAACATCATCTAAATGAAGCTGGCTGAATTATATAAATAGCACTTATTTGATTCCAATTATAAATTAAACTTTTCTAATTGATAATAAGAAAATGTTTACTGTCTACCAGCAGCTGAGAATCAGATATATCATTGTCTCATGCAATGTTTTGTTTATAATTACTTTTTATTGTAACCACAGACATTGCTTTATTTTTTCAGAAACAGTTACTAGGAGGAAAGCTGAAAATATTCCATATTTCCTTCTACTGTAATGAATTTGAAATGTAAACAAAGAAAACAGGATGTTTTCCTTTTCATATTTATTTTTCCATATTTTAAAACTATCAAGCTGGTATTTTGAGAAGTATTGTTCTTGCTTACATTTTAGACTTTTGATCATGTAGGGACAGGTTGTCAAAGGGAGCAGATCCATAATGGGGCATCATTTTATGTGTTTTCTCCCTATTGTAGTGTAGCTATGCTGGTCTGATGTTTTTCTGCAAAATAGGTTCCTCTTCTGCTGTGCATGACATACACATTGTGTCTTGAACAAGGGGGTATTCTAGCCAAAACAAAAAGATACTAACCTATATAATGCCATCAGTAAAAAGATCAGTAGAAAATGCAGTGATTGTGAATTAATGCTGCATTGAGTTGGAATAACCTACAACCATGATTGTGTAATTTTTGTAGCAATTCCTGCTTCATATGGATTGCCATCACTGTCCTGTATCATTTGAACACACATATAGGAAGGTAATTTTTAACACGATGCTCTCCAACCCATCGGATAGCCTCTTGTACTTGTTATTGAATCATGAACAACTCCTCAAAAATCTGCCATTATTATAGGTATTTAAAGTCCTCTATAATTTTGATGGACTCAGGAAGGTTTAGCTACCTCATCAACTGTGTTATAGGGAGGAAACTATTAACCCCTTACATGCTGGAGTGCCTTTACACCTTGTCACAGAAGCTCAATGAAGCAGTGGATTTCTAAGAAGAACAGTGCGAGCAGTCAGATTCTGAGTTCTTTCAAAAATCTGGCTTTAATTATAGTGGTAAATCTTTTGTGCAGAGATTAATCCCCTCCCCTCCTTATTTTGGTTTTTGCAGCCCATGGGATCAGAGCGGATGGAGATGCGCAAACGGCAGATGTCTGTGGCCCAGGAGACACCGAGTGCCGCACAGGCACAGCATGGCATTGGGAATCGAGCTTCCAATGCCTGCTGCTTCTGTTGGTGCTGTTGTTGCAGTTGCTCATGGTAGGTCTTTTGGTGTCAACTCAAACCGGCAGGGTCGAATGACTGCCAATGGTTAGGACAACAAAAACAACACAGCACCTGGGGTAATAACACAAGTCTAGAACAACCGGGAAAAGATGGTTATGCTGCAACTCTCAAGGCAGGCTTCAGTGCCAGTTCTTGTGGATTTTCCATTGAAATAATGAAGGATATGTATAAAAAGAGAGTTCTATATACCAGCATCAACTGGGGGAGGGGAGGTAAGTTGGCACTTCATGCAATTCTTTTGTTAGAACTGCTCTAGGCTACACACACATCATGGTAACAATTTCCTGGTGAAGTACCACTCGTGCTTGATGTTGTACAAAACAGAACAGTCTAGTCCCGGCACTACAAAATAGGTTACAATCTAAGTAAGACAGAGTAGACAAGATGCACTGGGAAGTGCAGAAGAGTGAAGAACTAGCATTGTAAAAAGGTCTTCTGGGCACTGCAGAAGAAATGAGTCATCAGGAAGGATTCAGACTGGAACAAAATAAAGAGGACATTGATTTTCAAAGGTAATAAGCACCTGCAGTTTCTGATAAGTCTATGAATCACCTTCAGGCATCCAAGTCTTATAATACTGGCCTTTGTGCATGAGGAGCTGTGTTGCAAACACTTGTAGATGGCTGTAGGAGAAATGTAACATTTAGTTTGGCATCACTGGTGAAGCAAGAAGATTCCTGTGACTTTAGCGTTGTTAACTAATGAGCCGTTGTTTAATTCAAGGAAAAAACATAGGTATTTAAATTCCTTTGGAAGTGACAATTTAAATGTTGTATCTTATATGATATATAACAGAATGGTAAGTGATTGTTTAGGAAGGGGTACTGCTGAAAGGGATCTAGGGATCATAGTGGACCACAAGCTAAATATGAGTCAATAGCGTGACACTGTTGCAAAAAAAAGCAAACCTGATTCTGGGATTCATTAACAGTAGTGTTGCGAGCAAGACACAAGAAGTCATTCTTCCGCTCTACTCTGCGCTGATTAGGCCTCAGTTGGAGTAGTGTGTCCAGTTCTGGGCACCACATTTCAAGAAAGATGTGGAGAAATTTGAGAAGGTCCAGAGAAGAGCAACAAAAATGATTAAAGGTCTAGAGAACATGAGCAATGAGGGAAGGCTGAAGGAATTGGGCTTGTTTAGTTTGAAAAAGAGAAGACTGAGAGGGGACATGATAGTAGTTTTTAAGGATCTAAAAGGGTGTCACAGGTTGAAACAAGGGAACTTTAGCTTGGATATTAGGAAACACTTCCTAACTGTCAGGGTGGTTAAACACTCATATAAATTGCCTAGGGAGGTTATGAAATCTCCATCATTTGAGATATTTAAGAGCAAGTTAGACAGACACCTATCAGGGATGATCTAGATAGTGCTTGATCCTGCCATGAGGGCAGGGGACTAGACTTAATGATCTCTCAAGGTCCTTTCTACTTTTAGTATTCTGTGATTCCATGATGTAGTTAGTTCAGCCTAAACATTGGTGCAAATATGGCTAGGTCAATGGAAAAAATATTCTATTAACCTAGCTATTATCCATTGGAAAGGTGGATTAATTACATGGATGGAAAAAACCCTTCCACCAATGTATAAGTGCCTACGCCATGGCATTACAGTGGCACAGCTGCAGCCTCTGTATACACCCTAAGATCGGGTAGGATAATCATTTTCGATGGAGGGCCACCACTCCAAGTTTTTGGAAAGTGGTTGTGGGCCGCTCTCTTCCAGGATATTAATGGAGGAATTCCGGGGTCTGGGATGGAGAGTGGCTGCCGAAGGGAGCTTGGGGGAAAGCACTGGGGTGCAGGATTTTGGGATGTGACCCACAGTAGGAGGGGATATGTGATCTGGGGTAAGGGATTGGGGTGCCAGATATGGGAATGGGTATGGGTACAGGAGGGGGAAGAGGGTTGGGAAAAGGAGGAGGTGGGGTGCCAGAGGGAGGCTCTGGCTGGGAGGTGTTTACCAGCAGAAATCTGAGCGGACTGTCTGCTGCAGGATGCTTGTTGCTGTATGTAGCTCCGCTCTGGGCATGAGAGGGAGGGGATCGAGGAGGAAGGGAGAAGGCTTCCTACACAGCGCCCTTGCTTCCAGCAAAAATTTTCAGCTCCTACTGGCTAGAAACTGAGAGATTGGCCAATGGGAGGGATGAGATTTTGCAGGGGGGCAGGAACAGCACGAGAAGTATCCCTCCTCCCTCCCAGCCATCCTGAACAGAGAACAGTTGGCTTTTTAAAGAATAGTCTGTTCTCTGCCTAAGGGTACTGGTAAGGTGGCTGTGGGCTGGATCCGGTGGCTTGGCGAGCTGAATATGGCCCACTGGCAGCCTCTTGCCTACCCCTGCCCTAAGAGACACTCTAGTTCAGAGTCTCTCAAGCTTTCCAGACTACTGCAGGCTCTCAGGAGTCTGATTTGTCTTGCAAAACCCCACTTAAAAACTACTTGCTTACACAAACACAAAAATACAAGTCACAGAATACTTACTGAAAAATTGCTGACTCTCTCATTTTACTTGTTAGAAATTTTAGTTTGTACTGACTTCACTAGTGCTTTTTATGTAGCCTGTTGCAAAGCTAGGCAATATCTAAATGAGACCAGGAGACTTCTGTGTGCACCTGTGGTATATGTACCTCTGTTTGGAAACCACTGCTCTAGCTCCAACAGATGTTATGGTCTTGATGCAGAAATTACTGGCTAAGCCCTATCACCAGCTATAATAGTCAGTCTAGATGACCATATTGCTTCCTTCTAACCTTAAAATTAATTATACCCCATTAAGGCAAATTTAAATTAGTCTGAGATGTTAAGTTCCTAATTTTGCTTCCTAGCATTAAAAACCCTTCTCAAATGTAGAAAAACATGGCTCAGACATTGTTATCCCAATTTTACTCTCAGAGAAAACAGACACATGGATATTGAGTTTCTTGACCACTGTCACAAAGCAAATTGGGATAGAGGTAGGGATTTAGAACCCAGATCTCCTGCAGATTTTGTGCTGTAATCATGAGAAACAAGAGAGGAAATTGGGAGGGACAGAGATAGATGTGAATTAGTGTAGGGTCTCTTTCTGAAGGACCTCTGGCCCCTCCTTAAATTCATATGGCCCACAACAAGTCTTCACACCATGGATTAGAAGCCTTGAGCCTCGGGTGGGAGCTGCAAGTGCAAGCTCATGTCAATCCAGGAAGCTCCACATGCTGTCCTCCCCTGCAGGTGCTGCTTCCACAGCTCCCATTGGCCAGAAACCACAGGCAATAGGAGCTGTGGGGGCAGCATCTGCAGGCAAAAGCAGCACATTTAGCCACCTGCCACCCCCTTCCAGGGGCTGCAGGGACATGCAAGCTGCTTCCAAATCTGGGAGTTGCTGAAGGTAAGCACCCCCACACCCGCTTCTGAACTCCAACCCTCTGCCCCAGCCTGAGTCCCCTCCCTCATCATAACTCCCTCACATAGCCTGCACCCTACCCTAACCTTCTGCCCTGAGTCCTTCCTGCATTCTATACCCCCTAGCCTCAGCTGATCCCCCCAATGCATCTCACCCCTTCATCCAAAGCTCCACCCGAGCCCGCAGCCCCAAAGCCTCCCACATCCCAACCCTCTTTACCAGCCTGGATCTCCCTCTTACACCCTGAATCTTTCATTTTTCCCTATGAGTCTTACCAACTTTCCTGACCAGATGGACTGGACACCATTACCATTCACGGGGTGCTGAAGATGGTCCTGGTGCCAGGGAGGTAATTACATGGATGGAAAAAACCCTTCCACCAATGTATAAGTGCCTACGCCATGGCATTACAGTGGCACAGCTGCAGCCTCTGTATACACCCTAAGATCGGGTAGGATAATCATTTTCGATGGAGGGCCACCACTCCAAGTTTTTGGAAAGTGGTTGTGGGCCGCTCTCTTCCAGGATATTAATGGAGGAATTCCGGGGTCTGGGATGGAGAGTGGCTGCAGAAGGGAGCTTGGGGGAAAGCACTGGGGTGCAGGATTTTGGGATGTGACCCACAGTAGGAGGGGATATGTGATCTGGGGTAAGGGATTGGGGTGCCAGATATGGGAATGGGTATGGGTACAGGAGGGGGAAGAGGGTTGGGAAAAGGAGGAGGTGGGGTGCCAGAGGGAGGCTCTGGCTGGGAGGTGTTTACCAGCAGAAATCTGAGCGGACTGTCTGCTGCAGGATGCTTGTTGCTGTATGTAGCTCCGCTCTGGGCATGAGAGGGAGGGGATCGAGGAGGAAGGGAGAAGGCTTCCTACACAGCGCCCTTGCTTCCAGCAAAAATTTTCAGCTCCTACTGGCTAGAAACTGAGAGATTGGCCAATGGGAGGGATGAGATTTTGCAGGGGGGCAGGAACAGCACGAGAAGTATCCCTCCTCCCTCCCAGCCATCCTGAACAGAGAACAGTTGGCTTTTTAAAGAATAGTCTGTTCTCTGCCTAAGGGTACTGGTAAGGTGGCTGTGGGCTGGATCCGGTGGCTTGGCGAGCTGAATATGGCCCACTGGCAGCCTCTTGCCTACCCCTGCCCTAAGAGACACTCTAGTTCAGAGTCTCTCAAGCTTTCCAGACTACTGCAGGCTCTCAGGAGTCTGATTTGTCTTGCAAAACCCCACTTAAAAACTACTTGCTTACACAAACACAAAAATACAAGTCACAGAATACTTACTGAAAAATTGCTGACTCTCTCATTTTACTTGTTAGAAATTTTAGTTTGTACTGACTTCACTAGTGCTTTTTATGTAGCCTGTTGCAAAGCTAGGCAATATCTAAATGAGACCAGGAGACTTCTGTGTGCACCTGTGGTATATGTACCTCTGTTTGGAAACCACTGCTCTAGCTCCAACAGATGTTATGGTCTTGATGCAGAAATTACTGGCTAAGCCCTATCACCAGCTATAATAGTCAGTCTAGATGACCATATTGCTTCCTTCTAACCTTAAAATTAATTATACCCCATTAAGGCAAATTTAAATTAGTC